AATTTTCATGTTTGTTAAATAATTTTCATAGTGGAATGTAAACAATTGCAATAGAAAAAAAAAATCAGTAGCAATTATACATTGAGAAAAGAATCTGTACGTTGTGGGTATCCCAAGGGCCTTTTTCTTTTTGTCTTTTTTTCTAAAAATACTGTTATTGTACATTTTTCTTGCTTTTGCATTACGGTTTCAACTTTGCAACAGCAATATACTTTTTATTTTATTTTTTATTTTATTTATTAAATTTATATGCCGCCCCTCTCTGGAGACTCAGGGCGGCTCACAATACATTTAAAAAAAAAACATTCTAAAAACATTTAAAAGATTAAAAAACATTAAAAACCAAATCAAACTAAATCAAACACAAGGGGGAATATATAATGTTTGCGTAATGCCGATACAGAATTCAATCCAATGTTTTCCACACCTTGTGAAAAACATATTGTTTCACCCTCTCTTCTATAGATCATATCTCAAATCCATTGCTTGATATTCAGGATAAAAGGCTTTCTGTTTATTACATAAATTATTTCTTTTCCAAAGATCTTCGTAGAAGGATGCAGTCCGTATTTTAGAAATAGAGTTTGACTTCGCATTTATATCTAGTCTATTTCTTTCCAAGATTGCATTAATACAGGTAGTCTTCAATGTATGGCCACAGTTGAGCCCAAAATTTATGCTGCTGAGAAGTTTGTTAAGTTTTAAGTGAGTTTTGCCCTATTTTATTACTTTTCTCACTATATTTGTTAAGCGAATCACTGCTGTTCTTAAATCACTTAACACGGTTGTTAAGTGAATCTGTTTTCCCCATTGACTTTACTTGTCAGAAGGTCGCAAAATCACAGGACCCCAGGCCACTGCAAACCGTCGTAAATGTGACTCAGTTGAATCCAGCGCTGGCTGGAGGATTCTGGGAGTTGAAGTCCACCATCTTCAAGCTTCCAGGGTTGAGAAACACTGCCCTACACCATTTCTGACAGATGGCAGTCCAGTCTCTTCGTGAAAGCCTCCAGTGATGAAGCTCCCACAACTTCTGAAGGCAACTTCTGTTCCATTGGTTGATTGCTCTCACTGTCAGCAAATTTCTCCTTATTTCCAGGTTGAATCTCTCCTTGTTCACTTTCTATCCATTATTCCTTGTCTGGCTGCAGGTGCTTTGGAAAATAGGTTGTCCTCCTCCTCTCTGTGGCAGCCCCTCAAATATTGGAAGACTGCTATCATGTCTCCCCTGGTCCTTCTCTTCTCTTCATTAGACTAGCCATGCCCAGTTCCTGCAATCGTTCATCGTATGTTTTAGCCTCCAGTCCCCTAATCATCTTTGTTGCTCTTCTTTGCAAGCAAGTCAAGGACTTGTAAATCAAGGACTACGTGTATATGCTAGGATTGAAAGCAAGACAAGACTAAAACATGGATAAGAGCATCTTAAAGCAAATGTGTCTTTTTCTGGACTTGAAAATCTATCTTTCATAGTTGGGATGAGATGTGTTGAATTTGGGGGCTTCTGGATACGTTCTATGCACCTGTTTTGAATCTCATTTTGCTCTTGGAATCCAGATTTCTGTACATTAGTAACAAGCAGAGCCTGTTAAGCCTCCAATTTCCTAATCTTCCCTTGTTCACTTACACTTGATTTACAGGAAAATCCAGTAAAAAAATCTCTTTGGAAGCAAGGATATGGTTCAGAAAGCAGAAAGTCGTAGATTACCCCTGCCATAAAAATTCTCCTTTTTGCTGGCTTCTAATTCTAATAATTCCACAAAAAAGGAAAGAAAGAGATATTCCGTCTTTTCAGTGTCACTCTTGAATTCTTTTTAGATTACAATTGGGTGAGCCTGATGAGAAATGTCCTTGATGGGACATCGCATCCCGGGTTGTTGAGTAATCCATGGGGAACCTAGGATTTGCTCCTTGCTCTGAAGCCAAACGAAGTCACTGTTTTACTAGTCAACCAGGAAGTTGGCCAACAGAGATCAATGATTTACAAAGGAGCAGTGGCGAAAGAGCTTCAGAGCTGCTATGGGAGTTTTTTCCTCAAAGTAGAAAAATAGTAAGATAAGCTGCTCCTTTTTCATTAGCAACAGGCCAGGTAAAAAGGGCAAAAATTAAGGGTGGGAATGGTGGCATCGTGGGTAGAAAGTTGGACTAACAATGAGAAAAGCTGAGTTCAAGTCTTCCTCTAGATAAGATAAATAAAAGAGCAAGGAATAGAAATGTGTCTGTGAGCAAAGAATTGCATTGATAACTATGCTTTTTCAAGAAGAAAATAAACACGAATGCATTTCAGATGTAGAAAATCACTCCTTTAAAGAAGAATAGAAGAATAGAATAGAATAGAATAGAATAGAATAATAGAATAGAATAGAATAGAATAGAATAGAATAGAATAGAATAGAATAGAATAGAATAGAATAGAATAGAATAGAATAGAATTCTTTATTGGCCAAGTGTTATTGGACACACAAGGAATTTGTCTTGATGCATATGCTCTCAGTGTACATAAGGAGAATAAAATACATTCATCAAGAATAAAAAGATACAACACTTAGTGATAGTCAAGGTTACTAATAAGCTATCAAATCGTACTAGGAAACAAAAACAATATAATTGAAAGATACAAGCAACATGGTTATAGTCATAAATGGGAAGAGATAGATACTAATAAGGAAGAGAAAAATAATAGTAATACAGACTTAGTAAATTATTTGACAGTGTTGTGGGAATTGGTTGTTAAGCAGAGGGATGGCATTTGGGGAAAAAAAACTGTCCTTGTGTCTAGTTGTTCTGGTGTGCAGTGCCAGAAAATAACAATTTGCAATTAAAATGCAATCAAAAACCCCTTTGGGTTTCTGATTTTAGAGGTGTCCAAAGCAAGAGATGTAACTGTCATATTTACACATAAAATGAGGGAATATGTATGTCCCTATGGAGCGTTGCTTTCTTCAATCTGAAGCCCTCAAAATGTACAGGATTACAGTTAGTCCTTGACTTACAACCAGAGTTGAGCCCAAAATTTCTGTTCTTGAGCAAGACCGTTGCTAAGTGAGTTCTGTCCCGTTTCTTGCCAGAGTTGTTAACCGAATCTTTGCAGTTGTTAAGTTAGTAGCACAGTTGTTAAGTAAATCTGGCTTCTATGTCTAAGATATAGTATGTTGTAATACTTAAAAGAGGATTGTTGTTGGCTTAAAGTAGGAGGTAGAAATTATCCAGAGCGTGCCAATTTGGAGAGAGCACAATGGGTGTCAAAACATTTGTTTGCTAAGGGACAGAAAGTATTTTCACAGCCCCATAATTTATTCAAGTGACTTACACTGGATTTCACTAGGTCAGGGGTCAGCAACCCACAGCTCTGGAGCCGCATGCGGCTCTTTCATCCCTCTGCTGCGGCTCCCTGTCGCCGGTCGGCTCCACAGTTGATAGGGCTTTTGGTTAGGACAGGTAGAGGAAAAAGGACATCGAGCTAGGAGGAGACTCTATGGTGGGGGAACCAGACTTCTGGTCGGCTCCAGAATTGAACAGGGGGATTCCGGTTAGGACCTTTTTGGCTCTTTGCTTATTTAAGGTTGCCTACCCCTGCTCTAGGTCATCTCATGCATCCAATCCAACCTGTTATTTTCCTAGATTGTGTGTGTGGGGAATCATTATGTTGGAATGTTTTCTACATTTGCTCCTGTAGCCGTCATTAACAATACTGGTCCCTTGACAGCCAAACTTTTATTACTTCTAAAGTCTATTCTGAAAATCCACAACTTGGATCTTTTATTATTCTTTCTTCCAATTAACATCTCGTTTGGGTTTTTTTTTTTCTCTGTTAATGGAACACTCAAGGTAGCCACCGACATTAAAATGCACAAAAATGCAAGATAGCTTTTCAAATATTTAAACCAAGAAATATGCCCATAATCTTTTGATTCTGAGTGTGACCCAAAGCTCTCCAAACCAACTGAGGATAAAACTATTGGTTGCCACTGATCCATCGGTTTTTCTTTTTCAAAGAAAAAGAAGTTTTAGATGGATCACTTTTCATGAAAAATGAAATTCTGACTTTCTGGTCAGAATTTGCTGATGATAGATTTGTTGTTATGGCAACGGCTAGTATAGGGAGCTCAGCCAAATCTCATTGTACATATGCTGTGCACTGACAATAAAGGAATTGAATTGAATTGAATTATATATTATGGTAGAAAAGTAAACAGTTGAGGTTGTAATGTTATTGTCTACTACTGTGCTAAAAAGAGTTGGAGGTCAACGCCTTTTTTTTTTCTTTTTCCCCTTCTACCCTCACTTTCTCTTTTTCTCTTTTCCCCTCGGCCTAGCTTCTCATTATTTTCATTTTTCTTTGTATTTTATACTCTGATAAAGCTAATAAAACCTTTTGATACACAGATTGATCACTTTTGCCACATCTGAGAGCAGAGGGGGAGGGTAGCGATAGCACTTAGACTTATATACCGCTTCACAGTGCTTTATAAAAACACTCTTAAGCCAGGGATCTCCAATCTTGGCAACTTTAAGCCTGGCGGACTTCAACTCCCAGAATTCTCCAGCCAGCTTTGCTTTGCTTTGCTGGCTGGGGAATTCTGGGAGTTGAAGTCCGTCAGGCTTAAAGTTGCCAAGGTTGGAGACCCCTACTCTAAGCAGTTTAGAGAATCAGCACATTGCCCCCAATAAATCCTCATTTTACCGACCTTGGGAGGATGGAAGGCTGAGTCAACCTTGAGCCGGTCAGGACTGAACTGCTGACAGCTGGCAGAGTTTTCCTGCAATACTGCATTCTAACCACTGCGCCTGTATGGTTTATTTGTACAGGGTTTATATCCTTATCATGTCTGCGAGAGCCTCTGTGTAAGAAATTATAGAGAAATTATAGAGACAGAACTCAAGATTCAAGACCATGAACTCAACCTAGAACAGCTTGACCTCAGCAAGCTGTTTAACGTGTCCCTCTACTCAGCACCGTCACGCCAGTGACTCTTCTGACATTGCCTCTCCTTTGATCACAGGGCCGTGTGAACATGCCAGACGTATCAGCGGAGACCGTATTTGATGTCCTCCATGACACCGAATACCGGAAGAAGTGGGACTTGAATGTTATAGAAACCCATGAGATCGCCCGGCTCTCTGACAACGCTGATGTGGGATACTATTCTTGTGAGTAAGGACCTAGAGAAGATTTCGTGATATTAGGTGCATATCGTTCTTAACAAGCAAGACAGCAGGATTTGATTCGTAGTTTTTGGCATCCAGATTAAAAACAGTCTAGACCAGTGATGGCTAAACTTTTTGCCATCGAGTGCCAAAAGTGGGCGTTGCGCGGGGGGGGGGGTCGCACACGTGTGTGCCCACACCCATAATTCTATGTGCCCTGCCCCCCGCACGCCCCCCTCCCCCTGCTTTTGGCACATGATGGCACAGTGGGACACCAGACTTCCGGTGGGACTCGAAATCGGGAAATGGGCCATTTCCAGGCTCTGGAGGGCCTCTGGAGGGGTGGGGTAGGCCGTTTTCACCCTCCCCCAGGCTCCTAGAAAGCCTCTGGAGCCTGGGGAAGGTGAAAAACAGGCCTTCCGGTCCAACCGGAAGTCAGGAAACGGGCTGTTTCTGGCCTCCAGAGGGTCTCTGTGGGAGTGGGGGAGGCCGTTTTCGCCCTCCCCAGGCTCCATAAAAGGCTCTGGAGCCTGGGGAGAATGAAAAACAAGCCTTCCTCATCCCCCCACTCCCTGGAGGCCATCAAGAAGCCGGAAACTGTGTTTCTTGACTTCTGGTGGGCCCAGAAAACCCGAAAATCAGCTGGCCGACACATGCATGAGCGCCAGAGCTCAGCTCCGCTTGCCACACGTGGCATGTGTGTCATAGGTTCGCCATCACGGGTCTAGACACGGGTCTAGACTTTTTCTTGGCAAGGTGTTTTGGAAGTGGTTTGTTTGCCATTGTCTGTTTCCTAGGGCTGGGAGAGAGTGACTGGCCCAAGATCCCCCTGCTGACTTTGGGCCCAAGGCAAGACTCCATAGAACTCACTGTCTCCAGGTTTCTAGCCTGATGCCCTAACCACTAACCCAAAGTGACCCTCTCTCTTTAGGCCTAGGGCCCCAAATTACATGGTTCCCTGAATGCTATAATTAAAGTGGAACCAGATTTAGCTAATTTAGGCTTTGGGGATGACGCAGACCAGACTGAGATGGCCTTAGTAGACGCTTCTGGAATTTCTTCTGGAATTAGAAGAAGATCTTGCGATACCAGAAGTTGGTGACCTTCATTCGGAAGCCTTGTTCAAGACGCTTTCAGAAATTTTCATCTCTGGACCCCAGCCTGCTTAGCCAGACCTCACGAGGTCCTAAAGTGGCCAATATCTGCTGATATCTCAGATCCTTGGTAGTTAGAGAAGAGCATCTGCCTCCATGGAGAAATGTAAAATTTGTTACTACCGGTTCTGTGGGCGTGGCTTGGTGGTGGTGGGGTAAAGTGACTGGGTGGGCGTGGCCAACTTGTTTGTTTGTTTGTTTGTTTTTACTCTTAAAAGCAGTTTTTCTACAACCTCTTCGGCCGAAAAGGTTGTAAAAAAAATGCTTTTAAAAGCCTCTGACGATCAGGCAACTCAGCTGGGATCATCAGAGGCTTTTTTTTTTAACTTTTAAAAGCATGTATAGAAAAAAATGCTTTTAAAAGTAAAAAAAAAAAGCCTCTGATGATCGCGCGGCTCAGCTGGGCATGGGGGGGGGGCAGGGATTTCTGCTACCGGTTCTCCGAACCATCCACCGCCATCGCTACCGGATCGGGCGATCCGGTCTGAACCGGGAGCATTTCACCCCTGATCTGCCTTCTGTGTAGCTTATGGTTGTCCCTCCAGAACTAGCAAACCGTGTGGTGCGCATTATGCACAAAATATGCCGTAAGGTGCTTAGGGGCATGGACTAGAACAGTGATGGCTAACCTTTTTTCCTTGGGTGCCAAAAACGTGCACGCACAATAGCGTGCATACGCATGCTGACTCCCATAATGCAATTCCCCCCATGCATGCCCTGCCCCCCTACGCATGCACATGAACCCCTCCCAACCTCTCCCTCACCCCCTCTCACGCATGCGCATGCAACCCGCCGTACCCTGTTTTGGGCCTGAAGCCTCCGGAGGTGTGTTTTCCGACTTCCATTTTTCACCCTTTACAGGCTCCGGATCCTCCAGGAGGGTATAAACGGCCTCCCCCAGCCCTCCGGAGGCCCGTTTTTCACCCTCCCATAGCCTCTGTGCAAGCCCTGTACTTACCTGGCATCCGAAACAGGCCACGTGGAGACTCCTGGGAGGGGCAGAGACCTGAAAATCAGCTGGCCGGCAGAGGCACGCGCATATGCGCGGTGGAGCTGATCTAGGGCGACGGCTCGTGTGCCTGCAGAAATGGCTCCGCGTGCCACAGGTTTGCCATCACAGGACTAGGATCAAAGCCAAAGTCTAGGCCGGGGGTACCCAACCTTGGCAAATTTAAGACCTGTGGACTTCAACTCACAGAATTCCCCAGCTAGTCATGCTTGAAGTTGAAGTCCACAAGTCTTAAAGTTGCCAACCTGTTCCAGACTTCCTTCAGCTATGGAAGCTCGCTGATTAACTATGAGCTTTGAGCTGAAGGAAAGACAAGTTATCAACCTAATAAATAAATACAATATTCATGACAACAAGTGCAAGGGTTGTTATCTTTTTTTAAAACTTGGTGGCCTGATGTTCTACAGGTAGTCCTCGGCTTAGAATGATTCATTTAATTTAATTCATTCATTCATTTAATGTTTGAAGTTGCATTGGCATTTTAAAAAGTGGTTTACAATTGATCCTCATACTTATGACTCTCGCAGAACCCCCATGGGTATCTGATCAAAATTGGCAGCCAGCATCTATTTACAATGGGATCCTGTGATCATCGTTTGCAAACTTCTCTAAGCTAACGTAATTATTATGTATACCATTAATATTACTATCAGTATATTTGTTACTTCATTTTCTTTTCTTCTTCTGTAAAATGGAACAGCCAGACAACACACTGTATTCAAAATACGTATATATAAATTTAAAAAAACCTTGACTTTAAAAAAAAACAAAAGAACAACCTGCCAAATTGCTAGATCAGCTGGCATGCAAATTGGGCGTCCCTGACATAGTCATGCCAGCATGCCAAAGAGGCCTCCGGTTGGCAAGCCTCACCTGGGTGATAAAGAAAGATTAACCTTCGTGGAATTAGGGTTCTGAGCGCCACATACCCAGAGGGTTATTAACAGGTTAGAGAGGGTTTAGAGAAGGAAGGCATACAAAGACAATAACAAGGACTGGAGGAGCTGCTTGTGAAGGCAGGCTGAAGGCATTTGAGGAGTTCAACCTGAAGAAAACCAGACTTAAGGGAAGCGTGAGAATGGTGTGTTCAGATGCATAAAGAAAAAAAAAACTACTGAGTTTTCCAGAAGGTTAGATTGGATGGTCTTTGTACTCCCTTCCAGCTCTACATTTCTGTGATTTCAATCAGGGGTCTCCAACCTTGGAAACTTTAAGCCTGGCGGACTTCAACTCCCAGAATTCCCCAGCCAGCTGGCTGGGGAATTCTGGGAGTTGAAGTCCGCCAGGCTTAAAGTTACTAAGGTTGGAGACCAGGGGTGAAATGCTACCGGTTTGGACCGGTTTGGTCGAATCGGTAGCGATGGCGGCGGGTGATTTATTTATTTATTTATTTATTTATTTTATCAAATTTATATACCGCCCTACTCCTGGGGGACTCAGGGCGGTGAACAGCCAGGATAAAATACAGATAATACAAACATTAAAAGTCCATTAAAATTATTAAATATTTTGACCGAAAACAAATTTAAAACACCCAATTTATAAACAGATTAAACGATTTAAAAATTTAAAAGGGAGAGTTAGGCCAGGCCAGCCTGCTGAAATAAAAATGTCTCTGCCTACCAAATTGATGCACACCTTTTCTACCTTCTCGGCTAGGGAAGTGCCCCAAACCTTTAAAGAACCGAGATGTGGTCACCCTGAGGTCCTGGCGAGTCTTGGATAAGTCATATGTAATCCTCAATTTCTCTGTCAAGCACCAGGTAAGTGAGCCAAACGAACAGGTAAGAGGTCTTTTGTGGGTGGTTTATTTATTTATTTATTTATTTATTCAATTTATATACCGCCCTTCTCCTATTGGACTCAGGGCGATGCACAGCCAAGGATAAAAAACATACCAATACAAAATTTAAAATCAATTAAAAGAATTATACAGCAATTATATGCAATTAGTTTAGCAATACGGAGGGCTTAATCAGATACAGGCAGTCCTTGACTTACGACCACAATTGAGCCCAGAATTTTCTGCCGCTAAGTGAGACATAGGTTAAGTGAGTTTAGCCCAGTGGTGAAATTCAATTTTTTTTACTACCAGTTCTGTGGGCATGGCGTGGTGGGCGTGGTGTGGCTTGGTGGACATGGCAGAGGAAGGATACTGCAAAATCCCCATTTCTTCCCCACTCCTGGGAGAAGGATATTGCAAAATCTCCATTTCCACCACACTCTGGAACCAGCCAGAAGTGGTATTTGCCGGTTCTCTGAACCACTCAAAATTTCCGCTACCGGTTCTCCAGAACCTGTCAGAACCTGCTGAATTCCACCCCTGGTTTAGCCCCCATTTTACGACTTTCCTTGCCACCAGTTGTTAAGTGAATCCCTGCATGGTCATTAAGTAAATCTGGCTTCCCCACTGACTTTGTCAGAAAGTTGCAAAAGGGATTCCGTGACCCCAGCATACTGCAACCGACACAGTATGATTTGCACAGCATGGTACGCTAGACTAAAACGGGCCTAGTAATTCTGGTTTCACCATGTTGTGGGAACTAACCTAGGCTAAAAATCATCCTATTGTTTGGGCATTGCATGCTGCCGTGATACAGTTTCTTTTCTTAACCCGGATTTGGTGGGTTGTGAGAAACCAGCACAATGTTTAGTTTAGCACTGGAAGTATTTGGTAGAGCTGCCCTCTGGTGGTAGATGTGCTTTTCTTCCACAACAGAGTCCCTAGTGGTCAGTGTTGGCTTTGCAGGTCCACAGCTACAAAAATCAGTTCAATTAAGACTGTTTGGACCCAGCTGTTGTGTTGTCCAAACATAACAAACCTTCTGAAGTTAACTCAAAGATTCCTTTATTAGGAGTGCCAGCAGCCCCGGCAAAAAGTTTCTCTCTCAAGGCAGGCTAACAAGTCGGTCCATCTGGAAGATGAATAGTTGTGTGCCACATCTATTCATGTCCGCCCCTTGCCTTTTATCCCCAGAGCTAAGGTGGGGCTTCGCTAGCAGCGGTGGCTCTTCCTTCCCAAGGATCGGCCCATAGATTTCCACTGCTCTCCTCTCCTCTGCCTTCTGTGCATCAGGCACTGGACCCAGCTGTTCCTCCTCTCCCTCATCAGCCACCTCCAGACCTGGAGGCTGTTGACTCTCCATCTGAGAGCTGACGGCCGGCCCAGGCTCCGCCTCCATATCTGTCTCTGACAGTTCCATTCACTCTTTCCCCTCGGAGCTCTCAGGTTGCCTTGATGCTGATCCTGACTCCCATGCCTCCTCCTCCTCCTCCTCTGATTCGGCTGCTGGAGGGGATCGGCGGCCAACAGGCCACAACAAAGACTGGTCCAAAGTCTCAGACCTAAAACTCAACCCCAACCCATTATTTGGCTTTCCTTTGTATAGAAATACCCTCCCCGCAAGGACCTCGTCAGAGCTGTGTCACTCTTAGCTGGATACCTGGTGCAACCAACGGGCCCTAACAGCTGCTGCTTGACTTATTTGGCTCAGGTAGACCCAAAAGGTAAGGACCCATTTTACAGATAGATGTTGCCTTTATTTGGACACATGAAACATGTGAAAGGTGCTTTAGACCCAGTGCTGTACTCATCACAGCACAGATGAGCACTCCCACAACGGATTTTATTTAAAATAATCAGCTGCTGCCAGGAAGTAGCCTGGGATGAGAGCCACTTCAAACATGGGGGTCTTGCCAAGGTAAACTGAATTGTATGTGCAATATACCCCAACCTGCTTCAAGACCAGATCCTGAGCTGCTTATGTTGTCCTGAAAATTGCTTGGTCAGCCATTCCAAGTTCTGGAGCAGGACCCCTAGTGGCACTGTGGTTAAACTGCAGCATTAAACTCTGCCCACTGCCAACAGTTCGATCCTGACTGGTTGACTCAGCCTTCCATCCTTTCAAGGTTGATAAAACGAGGAGCCAGATTGTTGAGGGCAATGTGCAAATAATGCTCACATTGTAAACTGTCCAGAGATTGCTGTTAATCACTGTTGGGCTGCCTGTAAGATTAAACGCTATTGCTGTTATTACTGTCTGAGTCAGAGCCCCATCCATCCACACCCACCCACTCACTCCATCGTTCAGTGTGGGAAGCTCATCAATTAACCGCTACATCCACAACAGCTAAGAGTGGTTTTCATCCGTGTGGCGTAAGGTTTGCAGGAGGCATTGAACAAGTGTGGGAAGCATGTTAGATTTCAAGAAATCAGCACAAGGAACAGACCTGATTTAACCAAGGACACCTGGGTGTCATGCTAAGTCTGCGTATATTAGTTGAGGCCCTGATCCAAGTGCTTTTTAAGTCTTGTAGTTTGGGGGGGGCACAATGTTTCTTGTTCTTATTATTTATTTACTTATTAAATGTATAGGCCATCCATTTTATCATCAAAGCCAAAGCTGTGGCTATTGTGGGATCTCAGTCACTGAAATAATTCTGGATTGTATTGAATGGGTTATTTTTCACCGCCCTGAATGTAAACAAAAGGATCCAATTCCAAATTGGGTAGGGGCCAGGACAATCCTCTCCTTCCCCCACCCCCCACCCCAGGCAAGGCCTGGTTCCAGGTTCTCCGCAAATGTGCTTCTTCCTCCTGACCATGTTCTATGTATGAGCCGCGGTGGCGCAGTGGTCAGAGTGCAGTACTGCAGGCTACTTCTGCTGACTGCCAGCTGACTGCAATTTGGCAGTTCGAATCTCATCAGGCTCAAGGATGATTCAGCCTTCCATCCTTCCGAGGTGGGTAAAATGAAGACCCAGATTGTTGGGGACAAATATGCTATCTTTGTAAACCACTTAGAGAGGGCTGTAAAAGCACTATGAAGCGGTATATAAGTCTAAGTTTTATGACTATTTTCCTTCCTCCCCTCCCTTCCCCATCCATCCATCCCAGCTCAGGGTTGACTCAGCCTTCCATCCTTCCATGGTGGGTAAAATGAGGACCCAGATTGTTGGGGGCCATGTGTTGACTCTGTAAACCGTTTAGAGAGGGCTGTCAAGCACTGTGAAGCAGTATATAAGTCTAAGTGCTATTGTTAAGGAGGACATTCTGCTTTTTTTCAAGTATTTCATTGTAGTTGTCCTCCAAGCCCTTTATGAATCCTCTTTTGGTGCAGGATTCTATAGCGGGATCCGCCAGCAAAGAGTTTTTGAGTGCTGGAGCAACCCCTCCACCCAAAACACTTTCTAGGTGTAGGGTTTGAAGTCTAGAAACAGTTCATATCTTACTTCGATTCCTCTCCTCGACAGCTTTTTCCTAGAAATGTGTGTTCTTTCATGCTTTCTTCTTTCCCCTTCCTTATCTGCTTCGGCTTCTGTTCGCTGCCCTTTCCCAATCCTCTCTAGTTCCTTTGTGATGCTTTTTCTTCCTGTCTGGCTTTTGTCCACAAATATGCTTCTTAGAGGAATTTAACTTGAGCCGAGAGCTGAGCGTTCATTGTCCCAAAGGGGTGGATGGACACTTTCCAGGTGGGAAAAGGAAAAGGGTGGGACGAGGATGTAATTAACCTTGACTGAAGCTGTGTATATTTTCCATCTCTTCTCCAATCCAGGATCCCTGCCTAAATGGGTTGTGAATAAAGCTTCTCAGTACCTGGCACCAAAGGTGAGTGAGGCTTCACTTGTTTGACTGAGCTGGTTCTCATCATGAGTCACGGTGGTTTTTCCCAGCACTTATATTGATTTAAATGAGACCAGGTAACGGAAAGCTACAGGTTGTGTTTATCTCCCTGGGGCAAAGTTAAGGTGGAGACATTGATGGGCAACTAGAGCAAAGGTAAGAAATGGAGGTAAAATTGTAAAGGATGCAGAGCAGAGCATAGTGCAGGGGAGTGCAGTGCAGGGGGGAGGAGGAGAGGAGGGGAGAGAAGAGAAGAGAAGAGAAGAGGAAGGAAAGGGAGGAGAAGAGAAGAGAAGAGAAGAAAAGAACAGGGAAGGGAAGGGGGAGGAGAGGAGAGGAGAAGAAAGGAGCAGGAGAGGGGGAGGCGAGGGGAGGAGAGGACACTGCCTTGAGTCCTACGGGAGAAAGGCGGTATAGAAATATAATAAATAAATAAATAATAGATAGATAGATAGATAGATAGATAGATAGATAGATAGATAGATAGATAGATAGATAGATAGAGGAGGGGAGGGAGAGAGGAGAGGAGAAGAAGAGGAAGAGGAAGAAGAAGGAAGAAGAAGAAGAAGAAGAAGAAGAAAGAAGAAGAAGAAGAAGAAGAAGAAGAAGGAAGAAGAAGAAGAAGAAGAAGAAGAAGAAGAAGAAGAAGAAGAAGAAGAGACAGAGTTGGAAGGGACCTTGGAGGTCTTCTAGTCCAACCCCCTGCTTAGGGAGGAAACCCTACACCACTTCAGACAAATGGTTGTCCAATATCTTTTTAAAGACCGCCAGTGATGGAGCATCCTTAACTTCTGGACAGAAGTTGTTCCACTGATTAATTGTTCTGTCAGGAAATTTCTTCTTCGTTCTAGGTTGCTTCTCTCCTTGGTTAGTTTGAAGTATAGGTAGTCCTCAATTTACGACCACAACTGAGCCCATACTTTATGTTGCTAAGTGAGAAAACCATTAAGCGAGTTTTGTCCCAATTTATAATTTGCCTGCCACATTTGTTAAATGAATCGCTCCAGTTGTTCAATTAGTAACACGGTTGTTAAGTGAATCTGGCTTCTCCCCATTGACTTTGCTCGTTCAGATTGTTGCAAAATGGGATCACATGATGCCTGGACACTGCAACCATCATAAATATGAACCAGTTGTCCAGCATCCAAGTGTAAGTCATGTGACCATGGGGATGCTGCAATGATCATAAATGTGAAAAATGGTCATAAGTCCCTTTCTTTCAGTGCCGTTGTGACTTCGGTCACTAAATGAGCTGTTGTAAGTCGACGGCTACCTGCCTCTCCAACTCACTATTCTTTTTATATGTAAATTTTATTAAAAAGAACATGAAAAATAAAAGACGGAAGGAAGGAGTTGCAATTCTTTTTTTCCTGGCTTATCCAAACTGCGTAAAGCTGTGGGGGTTGGAGACCAGAGGTGGGTTTCAGCAGGTTCTGACCAGTTCTGGAGAACCGGTAGCGGAAATTTTGAGTAGTTCGAAGAACCGGTAGTAAAAATTCTGACTGACCCCGCCCCCATCTATTCTCTGCCTCCCAAGTCCCAGCTGATCGGGAGGAAATGGGGATTTTGCAGTAACCTTCCCCTGGAGTGAGGAGGGAGTGGAGATTTTACCTGCCACACCCACCAAGCCACGCCCACCAACCCATGCCACACCCACCAAGCCACACCCACAGTAGTATAATTTCTTGAAACCCACCACTGTTGGAGACGTATCACTTAACTGGCATGTGAGCCTTTATATTGCCCAAATGGGTCCTGTTAGCATCTGGCAAAGGAATAACAGAGTTGGAAGGGACCTTGGAGGTCTTCTAGTCCAGCCCCCTGCTCAAGCAGGAGAAACTATTCCATTTCAGATAAGCGTCTGTCTAGACTCTTCTTAAAAACATCCAGTGATGGAGCGCCCACGATTTCTGGAGGCAAGCTGTTCCGCTGGTTAATTGTCCTCACTATTAGGAAGTTTCTCCTTGATTCCAGGTTGCTTCTCTCTTTGATTAGTTCTTGTCCTGCCCTCTGGTGCTTTGGAGAATAATTTGACCCCTCCTTCTTTGTGGCAGCCCCTCAAATATTGGAATACTGCTATCATGTTGCCCCTAATTCTTCTTTTCTTTAGACTAGCCAAACCCAAATCCTGCAGCCATTCTTCATATGTTTTAGTCTCCAGGCCTTTGATCATCTTAGTTGCTCTTCTCTGAATTTTTTCCAAAGTCTCAACATCTTTTTGTAGTATGGTGACCAAAATTGGTTGCAGTATTCCAGGTGTGGCCTTACTAGGGTTTTATAAAGCGGTGCTACTACTTCGTGTGATCTTGATTCTATGCCTCTGTTTATGCAACCAAGGGTTGTATTAGCTTTTTTGGCACACGGCTGTCTCCAGAGTTGGAAGGGATCTTGTCTCTTCTTAAAATCCTCCAGTGATGGACCACCCACATTGACATCTGGATTTTACCCAATGACATTTGAACATTTTGTTTTATCCAATCCAACATTTTCTACCAACTGAAATTCCAAAAGTTTCCAGATTGGATTTCATTTAAATTTATGGAGTTTGTAAATATGTTAGTATTTGGCGTAGTAGGGGGCACCTACTATCTGGAACGAGCTCCCCCTGGAGATACGGAGGATCCCAGATCTGCGTACCTTCCGTCGCGCGCTCAAGACTTTCTTATTTCATCAAGCTGGCCTGGCCTAACTTTCTCCCTTTTTTTAAACATTTTTAATATTTTTAAATATTTTTTAGTATTTTTAATATTCAAAGTTTAAATTTGTTTTAAATTGATGGGGTTTTAAATCTGTCTGGGCCAAACTATTTAATTTGATTTTATCTCTGCTTTTTAAATTTTGTATGTATGTATTTTATTGTTGGCTGTTCACCGCCCTGAGTCCTTCGGGAGTAGGGCGGTATATAAATCAAATAAAAGTAAAGTAAAAGTAAAGTATAAAATCCTCTCCGGTGGTGCCTTTAAGAATGCCTGTTTTGAGCTGCACTTTTTTGCTTATATCTCATTTTAACACATCACTGCACGTGGGCAGGCACATTTTGTCGTTTACATGTGGGATGAAGAATTCATTTAAATTTAGATTCGTATGAAAATGGAACAGCAGCAGCAAAAACAACGACAACAGAATTGAGAAAGATTAAAGTCATGTTTCCCTGTTCCCAGATTTTAAAAAAGCATGTTAAAAGGTGATGGGAAATCTGGGAGAAGAAAGAAAGAGGGTGGAAAGGGGTAACGAAATAACAGAATAACAGAGTTTGGAGGGACCTTGGAGGTCTTCTAGTCCAGTTTGAGCTTTTAAATAGCAGGTGGAGCTTAGTGAAATGGTGGTTTTGTCTACATTACCTGCAAAGAACATTATGAGAAAGAGAAATGGACTTACACATTTTGCTCGCGGTTTTTTTTTAATTTATTATCTTGACCAGGGGTGAAATGCTCCCGGTTCGGACCGGATCGCCCGATCTGGTAGTGATGGCGGCGGGTGGTTCGGAGAACCAGTAGCAAAAATCCCTGCCCCCACCCCTATGCCCAGCTGAGCCGCATGATCGAGGCTTCTTTTTTTATTTTATTTTTAAAAGCATTTTTTCTACAACCTCTTCGGTTGAAAAAATTCTTTTAAAAGTAAAAAAAAAGCCTCTGATGATCGCGCGGCTCAGGTGGGATTGTCAGAGGCTTTTCAAAGCATTTTTTTCTGCAACCTCTTGGCCGAAGAGGTGGTAAAAAAAATGCTTTGAAAAGTCTCTGACGATCCCAGTTGAGTTGCCAGATCGTCAGAGATGCTTTTCAAAGCATTAGAAAAAATGCTTTGAAAAGTAAAAAAAAAAAAAAAAAAAGTTGGCCACGCCCACCCAGTCACATTACACCCCTCCCCCCCAAGAGTAACTAATTTTACATTTCACCCCTGATCTTGACCCCGGTTCTTTCCCCTTCTTCTCATCCCACGCTTCAGCTTATGAAGAAAATGTACAAAGCTTGTCTGAAGTATGCTTCCTGGAAGCAGCAACACAACGCAGGCAAAAAACCGTGGTTGCATCCGGAGCAGAGCCTTCTTCCCACGATGCCCCTGTCCGAACTGTCCCTCCAACATGCCTCCTCGCTGGAGAACATCGACGAGAGCAGTTTAATGGAAGCCAAGGAAGAGAAAGGAGACATCAGCGGTTCAGAGAATTGATGCCAATTTGACTTTTGCTCACTTTTGAGACTTAGCACTCGCCAGCCAGCTGGCTTACCCAGTTGGTTTTACAATAAAGGATAAAAAAAAAAAATTCAGATGCATTTTTTTTTTTAAATTTCACGGCCGTTGCATGGCACTTATCTTTCCCAGCTCATGCAGGCAGTGTGGCTTAGAGAAGCTGGTTAGGTGATGAATAAGATGAAGGTTAAAGGTTCCCCTCGCACATATGTGCTAGTCGTTCCCGACTCTAGGGGGCAGTGCTCATCTCCATTTCAAAGCCAAAGAGCCAGTGCTGTCCGAAGACGTCTCCATGGTCATGTGGCCGGCATGACTCAACGCCAAAGGCGCACGGAACGCCGTTCCCTTCCCACCAAAGGTGGTCTCTATTTTTCTACTGGCATTTTTTACGTGCTTTCAAACTGCTAGGTTGGCACAAGTAACGGGAGCTCACCCTGTTACGCGGCACTAGGGATTCGAACCACTGAACTGCCGACCTTTCAATCGACAAGCTCAGTGCCTTAGCCACTGAGCCACTGCGTCCCTTTTTAGGTAGTGAATAGTTGTTTCTATATATTCCAGGAGGAAACCATGTGATTTATTTTGAGGGAGCTAGAGATACGTTTAGCCTATCAAAGAGACGGAGTAGGAGTGATATGATATTCATCGGGGGTATTGAGGGGCTGTCACAGAGAAGAGGGGATTGACTTGTTCTCCCAAGCAACAGAGGGAAGAACAAGAAGCAATGGGGAGAAGCTTGTCAAAGAGAGACAAAACATTAAAGAAACGTTTGGATTAATCAATGAAATAGCTTGCCTCTCGGAGTGGTGTGGCCTCCATCACTTGAGGTTTTCAAAAAATAGACTGGACAACCATTTGACTGGGATGGTATAAGATCTCCTGCCTTGAGCAGAGGTTGGACTAGAAGACCTCCAAGGTCCCTTCGAACCCCATGATTCTATGTTCTGTGGTAAACTAAAAATGTACAAATATACTTTGCAATGGAATCAAAGCATGCATTAGCAAATGCTATTTTTCTGATCAACTACTGGCTTGATTTCTTACTGGCTTGCTCCTCAAAGTAGCTTAGCTAAAACAAAGGCGGTGGGGAGCTTGAATTCCAAACTAAATTTGACTGAACTGTCAAATCAAATGGATCAAATATGTTTAATGAGCCATTTATTTCTCCTTCCTGTTGTGTTGATAGTGATAACCCTGTAGTAACATTTAGAGGATCTACAGCTATGCTGGCTGGAGAATTTTGGGAGTTGATGTCCACCAGTCTTAAAGCTGCCAAGTTTGAAGACCTCTGATCTACAGCAAGGGTCTCCAAATTTGGCAACCTTAAGTCTTTAAGACTCGTGGGCTTCAATTCCCAGAATTCCTCTGGCTGGGGAATTCTGGGAGTTGAAGTCCACAAGTCTTAAAGTTGCCAAATTTGGAGACCCCCCCCTCCCCCTGATCTACAGGGAGCCCTTAAACCCCAGGTAGTATGACGCTGAAGTTCAGAATTTGGTTCTTCAGCCTCAACAAGGATGATCAGGATGAGAGGCTACTTGGCTTGGTGCCGTTGATTGAGACAAGCTTGGAAAATTGGATCAGATGAGTGGAAAATGGTCCTATAACTACCCAAAGCGATTGCGCTGCCTTTTGACTAAAATTTTTAAATTTGTGCCACATCGTTGATGTCTTGGAAGGGACAATCTCCAGCGAAATGCTCTTGCTTGTCTAGTTTTAATGGGGGAAGATTTTGAACCAGATTTGCGGAATCTCCCATCCTCCTCTTAGGTAACGTTGGATGCTCTTTGCTCTCATGGATGAGTCAACTATCAGAAGAGGCAGGCCCCTTGGCTTAAATGGCAGGATGGATGGATGGAGGAAAATGAAAGGCAGGAGGATGTGATATTTTCCGGAGAGGGAGAGGGCTGTTTCGCCAACTGAGGTGACACTTAAAAACCACGTTTCTCTGCTTGGCTTTCAACTTCTCACCCAGCAAAGCGATGTGGTTCTTATTTCTGTTCTAACGGCTTTTCTTCCTTTAAAGAGCCCCGCTGCCAGATCTACTGGGGACCAGGTTTTACAACTTCTGATACAAAACCCACCTTTCTTTTTGAAGATCTGCAAATTGGCCACTTTTGCAAGTTGGAGGTAAGAAAGCGGTCTGGAATGGATGGGCTTCCTTAGCACTCTTTTTTTTATATATAATTTTTATTAATATATTCTATACACCAATACACCAATAAAATATACAATCCTGCCACCATGGTATAATGTGATTACATTGTCCATAAATATAAAGTCATTCCTTTATACATACATATTTGCCATCATATATATACATCTTATATCTATTCTATCCCACCTTTTCTGGACCCAATCGTACCATAATTTCCAACTGTTATAAAATTGAATCTTTTTTACCATTGATCAATCTAGTTAATCTATCTGATTCCGCACACTCATTAATTTTATATATTATTTTCAAATCCATCGGTAAGTATTGATTTTTCCACTCCTGTGCATACGCTAATCTTGCTGCCTTAACACTCTTGATTGGGTGTGAGACGTGAAAACTGCAAAGGTTGTTGCTAAGCGGCTCCTCTTCCTGTTTCTTCTCCATTTAGGTTCTCTGTGTGAAAGACATTACCTAAAATGTGAAACTCCGTAAACCATTTTTTTTTTTAAAAAAAAGGGTAACAATAAATCAGTGACACCCAGGATATTCAATCCGCTATTCTAGCGTAGAGCAGTGACTTCGGATCAAACTGGTGTCCGAGCTAAAGGAAGCTACTCGAAACCACAACTTCAATCAATCAGAATAGAGCTGGAAGGGACATTTGAGGTCTTCTAGTCCAGCCTAGGAGACCTTATACCATTTCAGACCAGTGACTGTCCAATCTCTTTTTAAAAACCTCCAGTGGTGAAGCACCCACAACTTCTGAAGGTGAGCTGTTCCACTGGTTAATTGTCCTCACTGTTAGGAAGTTTCTCCTTAATTCCAGGTTGCTTCTCTCCTTGATTAGTTTCCATCCATTATTTCTTGTCCTGCCCTCAGGTGCTTTGGAAAATAAGTTGACCCCTTCCTCTTTGTGACAATCCCTTAAATACTGGCATACTGCTATCAGGTCCCCCAAGTCCTTCTTTTCTGTAGACTTCAGCTTGTCTGCTTCCAGACGATCTTTGTAAGTGGCGTCTCCTCCCATCCTCACCCCCAAATCTCAATGAAGATTGCTTCTTTTGTAAAACATGGAAATTAGCTCTTTTTATCCTTCAAGAAAAGAAAAATACATTTGATTCTCTTCTCCATCCTTGCCCATCCTTCCATCTTAAAATATCAGTCGTATTTTTTCCCCCAGCTCTCTAGATAATTATTTATGAGTCTTTGTTTCTAATTAAGTAAATTAATCAGTTTAAGATTGTTATTTAATCAGCTTGACAGTGATATTCAGTCACATTTGTTTGTTTCAAATGCCGTTTTTCCTCTTCAGCTCAATTTGTAGAGTGTTGTGTATCACAATTCTTTGGACGAGCAAACTGCCCATAGAAGCATCATCGACATATAACTTTATCCCTTTCATTTGCCAATTTGGTTGCTTAAATTTTACTCTCACAACCCCTAATGCAGGGATCCTCAAACTTGGCAGCTTTAAGACTTGTGGACTTCAACTCCCAGAATTCTCCAGCCAGCCAGTTTTTATTTGCTCCTAGTTTAATGCTTCCTGTTTTAAATGTAGTAAGGAATATATTTTAAACCAAACAGAAAGTGAATGAATTTTCTTCCCCGTGTTTTAGGCTAGGTCTTTGGCTTTTCAAAAAATGCAGGTTCTTCTGGGAATAATAAACTGCGACAGTGGATTCATGTGATTGTCTGAATTAATTTACCCACATCTGACGCAGACGCGTTTCAAAGGACATCAGCATCATGTTATATCCAGACTGGTTGATGCTACCTGGAGAGAAGTGTTCTGGGAGGTTAAAGGTCATCAAGTCCAGATACCGTATTTTTCAGACTATAAGACACACTTATAAGTGTGTCTTATAGGGGGTGAAAATGTCTGTGTGTATTATAGACCAAATATTGCCGAAGCCCTGCTCACCCACCAGCCATTTTTGAAGCTTTTTTGGGCCCGTTTTCTAGGTTTTTGCCCCTTTTTCAAGGCTTTTTTTTTTTTAAAAAAAACAGGCCAAAAAAACCCTTGAAAACGGGCCCAAAAAAGGCCTTGAAAACGGGCTGAAAAAAGCCCCCCCCCCCAAAAATGATCCGAAAAAAGCCTCTAACAGGTCAAAAAAGCCTAGAAAAAGGGCCGAAAAAGCCTCAAAAAGGCTTTTTTTTTGGCCTGTTTTCAAAGCTTTTTTCAGTCTTTTTTTTGGGGGGGGGAAACGGGCCGAAAAAAGCCTTGAAACAGGCCGATAAAAGGGAGGCCAAAGTTTTTGTTGTTTTCCTCCTCTAAATTTAGGTCCGTCTTATTCTGGTGCGATTTATAGTTCGAAAAATATGGTAGTTTGAACGAAACTTTAACAGTAGCTGGTTGAAAATATATCCCTGTTCAATCTTGATCACTGAATAATAAAGGAATATGAGTGCAAGGTGCAAGGATCTATCTTTACATGTCCCCCATGTGAAGATGAAAAGCATAAGATGTTGTTCTTTGTGGATGGTATTAAAAAGAACTAAAGTAGGATAGAAAAAAATGTATGATCGATGGTTCTGGCCAATTCCTGTACACCACCGTTCTCCAAACTTGGCAACTTTAAGACTTGTGGACTTCAGCTCCTAGAATTCTGGGAGTTGAAGTCCACAACTTTTAAAGTTGCCAAGTTTGGAGAGCCTGGTTGTACACTGTTCAATATGTACGTGTGATAGATGAGACACAGCGACTCCACAATCCCAAATGTGAACATTTTTTTTAATTTTTATTGGCCATATTAAATATATTATCTATTTGATAGTTACAATTTAGTAATACAATGCCTGGCAGGTTTAACATAAGTATGAAATACGGCAAAAATTACAATACAAGAGAAAAGGAGACCTAATACATTAATGCCACTAGGTACATCGATCTGGAATGTATAGCTGTAAATATAAAATTCTACATTATGCTTTCCAGGAAACTTCCTGGAAATATAATAAACATTTTGTGGCAATTACAAATACAAATTAAAGATTTAACTTTCTAGGAAGTCGTAATTTTGGTTAGTATTTTATTCAGAAAATCTAATTTTTTTAAAAAATGTATTTCTCACACTGCTGCCAATTCGGTGAGATTTCTCTCTCCCCACCTATATATTTTTGCTTTGTTTTTTTGTCACTTTCGCAACAGAAATCTGCCGAAGACAAATCTATTTTATTTTATAAAAAAGTGAAGTATGAAACGAAATGAAGGAGAATAGGTTGTAAACATTCCTGCAAACTAAAGACACAAACATTTGTATAAAACTCTTTTCAACACTGAGCAGAGGCTTCCATTACAACAAATGATTAACTTAAAAAGTTCTGCTACAAGTAGAACAATACATTCAAACATACATTTTTCCAGAATTTCTTTTTCAAATCAAAATAAATAGATCACATAAAAGAGGAGAGTACATTTTATGGGGAAAAAAAAAAGATAAATTTCAGATTGCACCATAAATCTACTTTAAAGATAAGTAAGTGATATGATATCATTTACGTGTGTGTGTGTGTGTGTGTAGTTGTGTGTGAGTGTGTGTTTTCCCCCAGGTGTGAAATGCAAACACAATGCCACAAACCATAAGCTATCATGATGAATTAACAGCCAGTTGTGTTGTTTTGGAAACAGACATGTTTCAAGCTAAACATGAGTTTTACAAGTTACGTCCACTTTCCCATATACAAGTACAAAGCATTCGGATGTTTTGTAAGGTGGAACTTTTCCGTCCCTATCAATATGGAAAACTCAACAAAATGCCTACTCTTTTCTCTTTCTCTCTCTTTTTTGAATTTCTTCTTCCAAAGAACAAAATGGATGGTTTCCAAAGGTTTCAAAGTAGCATGACTGTTAAAGACAATGTTTAATTACTTTTATTTTACAGGTATTTGCTGCAGAGGCCTTACACAGAACAGTTCCTCTGTAGTGCATGATATTCACCCTCCCACCTTCCCAACCCACCCAAATAAATGAAAGAAAATGTGAGTGACCCAAAGCCATGAGATATTACTGAAATTTCCATTACAAACGGAAAAGACTTGGAATCTCACAAGACCAAACAGTGGAACACGGAACTGCTATGGAAGAGGTGACAATTACATTAAAATTTAAGACCTAACTTTGGGGGAGGGAGGGGTGGAAGATGGGAGAGAAAGGAGGAGGGGGAAGTAATTTTCACAAGTGACTTAATCAAGCGGATGACGGTAGAAGGGCCCCCGAGAAACAAAACTAAACAAAAAAAAAAAAATCCCCCAGAGAGTCGACTTTTTAATTCCATGTTAAGAATAGTACAAAAAACATTTTTGCTCAGTTTGAGCCAAATAGTGAAACATTTATCATAAATGCACTTTTTTTTTTTGTTCTCATTAAAGACAAAAAAAAATGCTGTGCTTTTTTTTTCCCTTGGAAAACAAAGAAAACCAACGCTGCAGCGGTTTAAAATTTTTTTTTTTAAGTCAGAAGCACAGGGTGTTCTTAAGTCTCTCAGGCACAGAGAAGAGACGTTGAGTTGGGCCAACCGTTTTGTGGAGTTTTTTACTGACGAGAGAAAGCATCTCAATCAGAAACGGATGCTTCCGGAAGCAGGGGGTAGGGGAAGGGAGACCCTCTCGCCATATTTCAAGACCACCGCGAATCCCTCTGCATCCAGGTAAATTGGACACCTTGGACTCCGTGGATTAAAAACTCAAAAGGCTCTCACCTGCCACGGCTGCTGCCATAGAAGGGACGGTGTGCCCCACTCCCACACACTCTTCCCCCCCCCTTTAAAAGAACTGGAAAAATTAACTTTACGCTATCTCTAAAAGTTATTTGGGTAGGGAGTTTTTTATCTACAGCGTATCCGAGATGGTTTCCTCATGCTGCATCCTAGAATACAGGACTGTCTTGTTAAGCGTAATAAGCATCTTTGCTGCTACATCTCATGGTCCCCCAAAATGCTAGGGCTTGTCTCCTGCCCTCCCTTCTCTCTCTCTCTCTCTCTCTCTCTCTCTCGACTTGAGAATTCAGGACTTACTGTGAAAATTAAGTCAAAACTCTTGAGAATTAAGGCAGCTTTTTTTTTTTTTTTTTGCTGTTTTCAACAGCTAACCCTGATTAGAAGATGCACCACCGTGCTGTAATAGGGATGTTTCTTCGCATCAGTCTGCCCTTCCTCCTCTCCTCCCCCTCCCCCGGGTTTTCTTCGTCCCCTGAAGGGGGAGGTGGTGACGGGGAGGAGAGGAGGGGGGAAGGCATCCTGTCCATCCAACCTGTTACTCAGCAGCAAAAATTGGAAATGTGTGTCTTTTATTCCATCATTCCCAGCTAGCATTTTAATTGGAATTTACATAAATACCCCAAGGCGTAAAACTTCCATATGAAAAATTATAAGCTGAGTGATGAAAGTCCCACTTCTTGTGGTCACCGACTTACTTGATCACAAAGTACTGAATGATAACAGCAAACAAAATGGCAACCGTTGCGAAGATTACAAGGAGCAGAAATGCAAACTGTTCGTCGCTGAGGGCCTTCCGCTTGCTTTTCAGGAGCTCCGGAGCCGGGTCCGAACACGGAGAAAGCACCTCTTGCTTTTGAGATGAGAAGGCGGTGCTCGGGCTATACGGGCCAAAGAGTTCTTGCCATCCAGTGGAGTCCTGATACTGGCGCCCAGCGCACACCCTGAATCGGTATTCACAGTTTGTTTGCACGTTAGGGACGCGGTAGGAAGTCTCTGGTCCCTTGTAGATCTGAGGCAGGAGCAGGAGAAGACACACATCAGATTGGAGAACAAGGCAACCGAGTTCCACAAAAGCAGAAATCTTCCATCTTTGGGGGCCTACTGGAAATTCTGAGATGTTCTGGCCAGGTCCCCAAAACGGGTATGGACAGCTTTGGAACCCCCATTGAATGAAAAGAGATTGATAAGGTTGCTGATGGTCACTGCATTGCCCTCCTAGGTGCTCCTATCTAAGCTTCTCTCTGCTTTTGGGAGGACAGGTGGGCCATCCTTTCAAACCCACTCTGCACTGCAGTCATTGGAAAATATAAGCTATGCTTGGAATTGGCCCTTTGTTTTGTGGCAAATCACTTTTTAAAACATCAGACAGGTTGCACAGAACCTGGTTCTTGAAAGATCTGGACATGCATATCTTGGTACTCCTGGCTAACCTCTGCTGGGCACCCCTAAATATTGCCTTATTCTGACCTATAAGGCCTATGAATTCTATATCACTCACATTTACTAGCAGTGGCTCTGGCCTTGAGGTTCAGACAGAAGGCCTTTCTGGTCCTTCCAGGAAATCTTAGGTCTACCACTAAGGAAAAGTCACACTTAATACAATGTTTGGCAATCTGGGCAACGTTCAAGAGCACAGACTTGAGTAATAAGTTACACAGCACCCCGTAAGCTGTGATTCAGCCAGACTGGACAGCTGCTTTGTCTGTAATCTGCTTGAGGGGTTGGACTGCAGGACCTCCAAGGTTCCTTCCAACTATTCTGATTACACTGTTATTCTGAGAGGCCGCCTGATGGTCTGATTGGGAAGAGGGGTTCATGTAGGAGATGACCAGGCTGAGTTCGAGAGAGGGGTCAAATGCGTCATCAGTCATGAGTCTCTTCACGCCCACGAGAGATCTAAGTCCAGCCCACCTTGAATCCCATTGACTTATCTACCGCCAATTTCCTTTGACCGTTAGTAGTTCAGATTCTTGTCGAGAGCTTAAGCTTGCAAAAAATCTTTATATACATTTGAACTGCCTGGATGTCCCGATTTCCCTGGTGCTTGACCATTCTTGTGATAACGAGGACCCTTTATAACAAGGGTGTCCAACCTTGGCAATCTGAAGACTTGTGGACTTCAACTCCCAGAATTCCCCAGCTGACCAAGATCTTGAAAGTTGCCATGGTTGGATGTCCCTGCTTTATAACAATGCATTCAGAGTTACTGTATTGGGGGAGGGGGGGCTTTTCCCCATAATAGCTGTTTTAAAAAAAAGATCATTCTGGGATTACCTGATCCGCTTCCCTCCCAGTGGCAAGCTGCAATATGTAAACAATGGCATCGCGCTTCGTTGGCTGTAAAGGCTCCCAGGTGACTTCACAGACATTGTCTCCCAGCTGATGGACTTTGGGTGCTGCAATTTGGAACAAGTTGGAAGTTAATCATGCTATACTATATATTGTCCTCCTTTTAGCTAATGATAGTAAATAGCGTGCATCTCTCTCCCCTGAATGAATTTAAGCGACGGTTTAAAGTGCAACTTGGTTTAGGGCAGATGTCAGATCCCTAAAAGTGATACTGCCATTCAATTGGGAGAAGGGGGAGACTTGAATTCGATTTACTAACATGGCCTGTGTCAACAGATATTTTACAACCTATATCCTGGCGCCAAAAAGCCCTGAGATCCTCTTAACATGGAGGAATGTTTATGATAGCCATGTGCGTTGCCTCACTTTAAAGTATAATGGTGGGAATGCATGTTTGTTCGGGTTCTCAGAGGAAATAGTAAAGAAAACAGCTTCACACTTGTGTATTGGCTAAAATCTGCATTCTGACTTAAAGGGAGGGGTCTCTACTGCTTTAATCCTACTTGTCTTACCTAAGGGTATTCAGATCGTGCTTTAGCTGGATGGCTTTCACTTCTGTTTAATAAAAGAATCCTTTGGAACAACCACGTTTCAAGAGTTCGTACTTTCTTAAGTTGGAAGGAGAGGCGATCCTTACAGCAGGGATCGGCGACCTTAAACACTCAAAGAGCCACAAAGGTCTGGAAGCCCCCGTTCAATTCTGGAGCCGACCGGAAGTCCGGTTCCCCCATCATAGTCTCCTCCTAGTGCAGAGTCCTTTTTCCTCTACCTCTCCTAACCAAAAGCCCTATCAATTGTGGAGCCATCCAGCAACAGGGAGTTGCAACAGAGGGATGAAAGAACCACATGTGGCTCCAGAGCCAGAGGTTGCTGACCCCTGGTTTAGGGTCACTGAATCAAAATCTATTCCTCTCTCTCTTCTTCCATCCAAGTTGAGCTTCTTGGCAGATTAATTTTACATTAGTTCTATTATTTCAATGCGCACTTGGTGGAAATAATTTAAGAATTTGCAGCTGAAATTAAGGCTTTGGAATACACCCCCCCCTTCTTGATACTGTCTCACTGGGTTACAGGTAGTCCTCGACTTACGACCAAAGTTGAGCCCAACATTTCTGTTGCTAAGCGAGAAATTGAGTTTTTGCTCCATTTTATGACTTTTCTTACTGCAGAATCACTGTCTTTGTTAAGTTAGTCACACGGTTGTATGTAAGTGAATCTGGCTCCTCCATTAATTTTTGCTTGTCAGAAGGTCGCCAAAGGGAATCACATGACCTGGGCATGCGGCAACCCTGCCAGTTGCCAAGCATCCAAATTTTGATCATGTGACCAAGGGGATGCTGCAATGGTCAAATGTGAAAAAACAGCCGTAAGTCCCTTTTTTCCTGTGCCGTTATAACTCTGGTCGCTAAACAAATGGTTGTTGAAATGGTAAATCGAGAACTACCTGTATATTACTCTCTTTGGGAGGGATTAGAAAGAATACTGAAGCCTTTGAATCTGGGCGTGTATTACCCTAAATTGGGTAAAAGTGATTTTTCTTTGGGAAATGACACAAACCCATTACCCAATCCCAACGGGGGATATTTAAATAAGGATTTTCCAATAAGTGATTTTGGATAATTAAGGATAAGCTTTGGGAAGACTAATACGTTCTGCATTTCAGTTCATTTTGCGTGCTTTATTCGAGGGCCATCTATTTTTTTTCTAAAGCAGTGACAGGAGAAACATCCTGCCTTTAACTAAACCAATCTAATTTCTTTAAAACTACTGTATTTTTCGGAGTATAAGATGCACTTTTTTTCCCCCTAAAAGAGGGTGAAAATTTAGGTGCGTCTTATACACCGAATGTAGCGAAAAACGCGAGGCACGGAGGAGGCGATGGTCTGTGGCAATCCCTGCAGCCTGGAACAGCTGCTTGGAGGTATTCCGGGAGGCCGATCCACCCGCCAATCAGCTGCTTGTGCTAAATCAGACTGCAATAATGTGCTGAAGCTGACCTGGCTGTTCGCTATTTGCTGCAAGGACTGTCAAGAGTTTGCAGCAGCAAGCAAAACACAAGCAGAGGAGAGGAGTTTCAGTTTCAGTGTTAGTTTCAGAGATCAGCACAGTATGCAGCTTTAGAACAATTGACCTAAGCCACACCCAGGCTCCTTGCTGTCTCCTTCCTTGTTGCTCACACAGCAAATACTGTTTCAGTTTCCAAACAGTCTCACACACTGACAGGACGCTAGCCAGATGAATACCGATGAATGCTGGTGGGCAGAGGCAGAATTTTTTTTTCTTATTTTCCTCCCCCAAAACTAAAGTGTGCCTTATACTCCGGAGCGTCTTATACTCCAAAAAAATACGGTATATTGTCCAGCAATCCCCCCCCCCCCCCCCCCTGTTAAGTATCACTTATCAAAGCAGAAGCAAACAGTTATGCATTGAAGAACCTCTCCTTTTAAGGGGTCAAATCTTGCTCCATTTATGAACACCGTTAATATGTGCCCCTCACCTTTCATGGCAGGCGGTGGCGATTTGGTTGTGGCAAATGCATAAACTTCGGAAAAGTCCCCTTCCCCGGCATCATTGCATGCCTGGATTTTAAAATAGTATGTTGTAGACTCGCTAAGCCGTTGCAC